AGTTACGACTTTTTGAATTTCAGCGACGATGTTTGTTACGTCTTTTTGCGTTGCAGCTGACGATATATTGATGAAGAAAAGTGATTGTCATATGAGAGCAAAGTAATTTACAGAATAAATAATTGGCCAAAATACAAGGATTAACAAAATTGTAAAAAAAAATATTTCACCTGTTTGAAAATTTGTTCTTAAATCCTCCTTGGCTGCTTAAAAGCGTTTTATTACTTTAGTACAACAAAATAGCCTGTTATTTTGAGTCCAAATTGAAAAACCAAAAATTGTATAAAAAACGAAATTTGTAAAAAATAATTAAAAATGAAACCTAAATGAAATTTGAGAAAAAGAAAATTTAATCTAAAAAAATAAAAATATATAGTAAGTTAAAAAGTTTATTTTAGTTCAAAAAATATATAAATAAAAGCCAAAAATTTAAATAAAAAAAATAAAAACGAAAATGTTTGATTACGTAAGGAAAATTAAATAAAATAAGCTCTTCAAAATGAAATTAAACAAGTAATTTTTAAGCAAAAAACAAAACCGACTCATTTCTCATACAAAAATTTAAGAGTGATCCAATGATGATAAAAAATAAATAAAAAAATTCCGACGAATTGATAATCTTCTCCTTTTTTTAAATCGTTAAAAAAAAAATTTTCTTTTTAGCAAAATAAAATCAAAAAACTAAATGAAAAATAAGTTCCTAAACATTAAATGAAATAAAAAAATGCTTTCTAAAACAAAAAAAATAAATTAAAAACTTAAAGAAAATTTAATAAAACAACCAATTTTTAAACAAAAAATAAAACCGACTGCAATTTTCATATACAAATTAAGGAGTACCGTTAATTTCTTAATGATTCAATGATCGGATCTGGTCTATCATATATAGACAAAAAATTTCGACGAATTTATAATCTTTTTTTGAGGTCTGTTAAAAGGAAAACCAAATTCAATGAAAACAAGAAAAACCAATTTCGCTGCCCAAGGACTCGAGCCTTGGATCTTTCGAATAGCACGTCAGTGCTTTACGCACTCGACCGTAGCGAGTGTAGGAACAGCGAGACCAAAACGACAAGTACTTTCTGTCAAAAGAACTTTTCACCATGAAAGATGGAAAGGAAGCTTTCGTTGGTAAGACTTTGGTACCAGTATAAAGCAAACCAATATTTCAATTGTCTTACAAAAGACTTTCAGGGCTGGTTTCTCCAACTCAACTTAAGTTAGTTTAGCCAATTTTTGGACTTAGTCAAGAATAAGCTGATTAAAACGTAGGCTAATTTTTAACTTAGCCTAGATGGTGAATATGAATAAGTCCAAAAAATGGCTAACCCAGCCTCACACTATCGTAGCCAGAATGCTTTTCATGACTCGAAGCAGTGCTAATTTGTATCATGATTTAACAACAGCTTATTTGTAAATTGCTTACGCATAGTTTCCCTCCCATTTCAATACTCCTGCTCTCGTATGGGCCCAGTGGGAAAACGGGAATGCATTACCTCTTCCCACAAGAAAAGATTAACAACTACGGTTGAACGAAAAAATGCATCCCGATATAAGCGAGCGGATGATGTGTGGTTTTGAAGCCACAAACAAAACAAAAAGTTTGAAAACTAACTTTGGTATGTATTTTCACGTTATCTCAACAGCTGCTGTAGCCGAATGAATTCTCGGTCCTCTGCCGTGTTGTTGGTCACGGGATTCAAAACCCGTGGCACGNAAGGGCCAAGAGTAAAGTGGCATAGAAATAAGCCGCAACGAAGAATTGAAACGAGTAAGTGAGAAAATATCAAATAGGTAGATACGAATAAATCAACTAAAGCATGCGGTCGATCTATGGCTGAAAATGAGTCACGAGATGAATAATTAAAGAAACATAAGTTGATAAATGATCATGTTCGAACTATAAGATACGTTTGGCAGATACTTAATATCTATTCGAGATGATGCTTAATGGAGTTTGTGCCTCCGGGTTGACGGCTTAGGTACAAAAGAGACTTAGATAAAGCTTATACTTCTAGTTATTTTAGTTTTTATGTAGATACATACACATACATACATATACACACATGTTTGTATGCGCAGTTTAATAGATAAGCCACCGCCCGCCCGCACAAGCCAGAGGCGCGCGATCAAACACACATTGGCTTTCAAACTGTGCGCCTTTGTACTTATGAAGCTCTGTATTTGTAAGCGACCCGGCTCTTTGTCCGCTTTCGCCTGACCTTGCTTGCAATAAAAAACGAGTTGTACTATTTATGGTAAAACATAAATAATTAGCCAATGATTGGTATGTGAGCAAGTAACTTACATTTTCAATTAGGCGCAGCAAGCAATTCAAGTGTTGAAGTGAAAGTTTTAAAGCTGAGGAAAGTGTTTGCCTGGTGCAATTGTTTGTTGCCACCAGATATGCCAATTACATATATGGATGTACGCTTAGCAATGTTAATTAGCTTCGTATTTGTATTGTATTAAAAAAAATGCACCACAATGTAAAAATATGGTTGTTGAGTTAAAAAAATAATAATAATAATAATCCACCCTGCTCAAGTAAAGGCGAATAATCTCGCTTTGCTTTATCTTTTCTACACGTTTCTTTACTGCTTCGTTATTCTTTTTCGCACTTCACAAGTGATCTGCGTTCTTTCGTATATCTAGTTTTTCACAAAGGCACACACACGCACACGCACACGCACACAGAGTGCATACACAAATTACTTGAGTATTTACTTGAGATTGAGGGGCTTGGTGGCGGCAGGAGCCGTCGTATTACTGCCCACAAGAAATTATTTTCAATTAAACAACAAAGCGGCAAACAATTACTTTATTTGCTACTTTATTTTTCTATTTTTTTGAGTAGCTAATGACGTAGACAAACACCTCACTGGTAAAAGTAATCGAAGCTTGTCGTGCGAAAGTTGCTAGAGAACTAAAGTCAATTGGATTTTTCATTGGATTTTAGCAGAATCCAACAAGTTTTTGTTGCTGTTCGAACAGTTGCGGGTTGCTACGGCTACATGTTGTAAAAGGTAGTAGAAAAAGCTTACATGACAAAAGCTTTTAGCTTAGTGAGCTTTGATGCGTTTGTGTGGTCGCGTTGCCAGAGAACACAATAAATACATATACACAGGTTTTTTACATAAATTTAAAGTATTTGTTTTAAAAATTTACAGAATTTTCAGATTTTTAAATTAAAATTTGTTTAAATTTGCTTTAGATTTCGGTTTGCTAAAAATAAATAATGATTTATATAGTATATGCCGTTAGGGGAAACGGGAAACAATTATCTGAGTGAAAACTAAAAAAAAAATAAGCCACAATTTTTAAAGCTCCCCAAATAATCTCCGAAAGTGAGCACGATCTCTCGAAATCGGATCAAATATTATACTAGGCATACATATACATAAGTAGACTATCCCCATTTTCGAGCTTAACTCTATAATCTGGATTTAAAAAAAAATAAAGTGCTAAACATGATGTAACTTGTTCAGTCCCGCGAACCGATAGACAAGACATTGCCAATCTTTAATAAGTCGTTGAGCATAGAGGTGAAAGGAGACCTGGGTAACAGCCTCCAGATACTCCGTGCCTCTCAGATTGAGTAGGAGTCCTCATTTGAGATGCGGTAACAGTAGGCGGACACGTGGAGAGCTTTGCGAACACTTTCGGAGCCACGTAGATACATACACCGATTTCTGAGCGCTTCAGATTTATGGGGACCCATTTCTTCGAGGACCATCACAGCTTCTGCACCTCCGACCGGAGTGGTTGTCGGTCTTTTAAAGACACTAAGGGATGTGGTTTTGGTTAATATTCTTCTCTGCGCCCTTGTGGACACCACTACTTTTTGTTTGTAATTTTTGTGCATTTTATTTAGAGTTCACAAAATCAATTGAAGTGATTTTTTGAGCTTTGCTTTTATGCTTTATTACAAGGATTGTATTGGTGTAGTCTTTGTGAAAGTAAAATTACCTTTTCAATATTATTTCTATGTTCTTTTTTTGTTTTATGTTTTTATGTTTTTTTTTTATCGAAATTAGAGAAAAAATCATTAGTTCTTGTTCTGGCTTTAAAGCACACTTCTCATTTTCTGTAGTAAACTTTTATTTCATTCGGTGTATGGAAATAACCCTTTCTCTTCCAGATGAATGTTCAGAGCATCACTACCTTGCATTTGTGCCTTTTTATTTAAGCCGCTAAACATGTTTTGACTGTTACGAGTATAACCGTTAAAGTGCTTGAGTGGTCTGCGAGTTGTAGCCAACGGAATTCGGGCATGGGAAACTGGCTGCTATAAATACGAAAAGAGCATCAGCATTTTGTAAACAGTTTATGAATAAAAATGCTTGCATTACCCGCCGGCCTATTAGAACCGCGTTTCCATCGAAAACTCTTCGAATTCGCATTGCAGTCATTTTCCGCACGGAACCGGGCAGACGATTCAGCAGGAAATCAAATACCGGCCGTATTAGAAAGAAGTAACAGAACTCAGGAACTGACATGACACCGAAACCCACCATTAATCCCAAAATGCCACCTGTTTGTGCTGTTGCGAAATAAATACATACATACAAACCAATTAATGCCCACACAAAGTTTGTAATAAGATACGCTACATAAGATAAGATAAGAACAACTCACACAAATAGTCCGTAAAGCTGGTATATGGCGATCTAACCTTAGACCTAAAAAAATCATTTGCAAAATAAACCTGCACCAATGCGAAATTCTCATGAATCTCTTGCTTTGTAAAATTCGTAAAGAAGCCATCTTTGAAGACAAACGAAGTATTCGCCAGTGGTGTTCCATACACTTCCGGGTAATACTCCAAACGGAAGCACGCAGGCAGACACTTACGTTTGCAGGCCACATGCTGCTCGTCATTGATCTCTGCTTCTGCGATTCTTTCACAATTGAAATCCTTCACATCCCAAATACTTGCATTTTGATAGATGAGCGGCATGTGATATGGAATGCATTTGCATCGGCGTAGAAAATACTTGGAATCACATTCCATCTCACAATTGCGGCGCGTGTAGTACCGGAAGTAATACAATTCTAGCTCGTTGTTGAAGAGACATTGGCGACGTTTAGGCGGAATGGTGCGTATCGAAGGGAGAGACTTGGAGTTGTCTATATTAATACGGAAAAGATATTGGTAGCCCGTTTGAACGAACAAGCCGGTCTCTTTGACGTGCGGCGTATCGATTGGATTGTGGGCGATTATCTAAGGGGGGAAAAAAATGTAAGGTTATACAAGTATAAGTAATTATTTGGCGGGAGTACAAAAGCAGATATTTTTGTAACGAATTCTAGGAGAAGTATGCTATAGTCTTATAGCTGAAGAAAATATGAACATACATGAGCCTACATATACATATGTAAATCTTATATTGCTAACAAAACAAAATGGCGTAAGATAAGTTGGTGGTTAGCGGTAAGCTTACAGTTACACATAAGTTATACTGAAACGGCAAATTGACCTATGAAAGGAAGGAGTTTCGTTGATAAAATGGCAATTTTGGAAGTGAACGCAATGATAAGTAGTGTAAGGATAACGACAGAGTAAAATACGAAGGCGAAGGCTACGGCAAAGCCGCAGTCAAAAGCAATAATAACAAAGACAAAGACCAATACAAAAATACATGCAA